CAAATTCATGGAGACAGAAAGTAGATTAGAAGTTACCAGAAGCTGGGGGAAGGGAGCACTGGCGAGTTACTGCTTAATGATGAGAATTTTTGTTTGGGGTAGTGAATATGTTAGGAAATAGTGGCGTGGCTGTGCAACATTCATAGTATCATATCACCGAACTGTACACTTAACAATGGTTAAAATGGCAAACGTTAGGACGTGTATTTTATCACAACTACAAAGAGAAAAAGATCCTGGCGGTGGTCATTCCCACTCGCTTTGCTTCTCCAGGCCATTTGTAGGATGAGGACAAAGACCTTAATGGGCATTTTAAAAAAGTACATTGAGAGGAAGGTCTACAACAGGCAGAGACAAATGCATGATGTAGGGCCATCAAATAAAAAGTGACACTTCTCTATTATTAGCCTGCAATTTCTCAGCAAAGTAAAATCTGTGAGCTGACACTGGAAAAATGCCAGTTCCATACATGAGCTATTTAATTTTTCTGGGTAGGGTGTAAAATAACTGTTAAAACTATAAAAGATACCATATGGCATCAAAGAAAGGTGGGGGGAATAGTTTTTTCTGTTGTTGTTGTTATTTGATGAATAGTTTGTTCTCTACTCTCCTGAAAAAAAAATAAAGGTGCCATTAAGAGAAAAATTCCGAAAGCGTCAAGAAGACATATCCAAAATGGAAAGAAAGTTGAAAAGATAAATACAACGAGCATTCCTTTAACTGTATTTGGTGGAGTCCTGCCGAGAAGAAGAATCCCAGCAAGGCGGCGCTGAGACACAGTTTATTGATGCAGGCTCTCCCGCAGCAGGACACAGACAGAGAACTTGGTAAAACAATCACATAAAAAAATTACGACTCTTACATCTGATCTTTATGACTACACAGAAAAGAAACTGTCCTCTGGAGTTGTCCGTAGGCTATGTTGAGGCAGAGATTCAAAGAATGCATTTTTCCCTTCCCAGCCCCACAATCGCACTGTTTGCTCACATGCAGTCAGAACGGACTGAAAGCAAAGGTCTCACGTTAAGGTGACTTGAAAGATGTTAAAAAAAGCACCCCTGTATGAGATTTCGAGCAGTTCTCCCAATTGCATTTTGAAAAATCACTTCTTTTGTTTTTAAAGAGCATACACAATTGAAATCTGTATTCCCTTCGGGGGGAAATTGTAGTAGGTGGTAAACTGGTTGTAAGTGGAATCTTTCGAGAATCTCAGATCTGGAAAGGAGCTTACCGATCATCCAACCTACCCTGGTGCTTTGCACAGTGTGCACTGTGCTACACCCATGAATTGAAATCAGTTTAGCATTGGGAGGCAGAGGAAGAGGAAGCATAGAACAAGATTGAATTGAGCATTAAAAGTGCGTGGCATATACTGCTTTGTGAGACTTTGGTTTCAGCTGTCTGAGTGTGTGTGTGTGTGTATGCACGCCTGTTGGGTCACAATGCAGTCTGTGACTTACTGTTAAGTCCTGGTAAAACACACACACACACACACACACATACACACACACACTTAAGTTACCAGTCAAATCAAATACCTCCTGTTCCTGATAAGTCACCTGGAGCCAGAGAAGGGGAATGACTTGACTTTCGCAAGTCGCACGTGAGTCAAAAGTAGCTCAGGTCTCTGGACTCCCAATATCCTCTAATGATCAAAGCAAGCTTGCAAGTGGGTGTCAACTCTGCCCTGGGCTTTCCAGACCCCCCTGGCAGCTTCATTCTACTTTCTTCTGGAGCAATTCCTGTGTTTCTGCATCAAATGGACTCCCCTTTCTCCTCATCTAGTACTACTCCAGACCTTACACCATATAGGATCAGTGGTTCTGTGGGCTGGGGCGGATGTGTTGGGGGACAAACAATGAGTGCCCAGGCTGAGATCATCCATGACTGCCGGGTAGCTCAGAGGGTGCAAGATACCACAGTTCCCTGCAGTCGGTAAGCCACAGGAGAGCTCGAATCACAGTCTCCCTGTGAAAAAGAGAGGGTGCATGTCAAGACTTAGACTGAGGGCACTCTCAGAAAGGAGACAACCGGCGGACAACAGTGGGCTTTAGGTAATTCCTGCCAGGCTCAGGCACTCCGCTGGTCTTCCTGAGCCAAAATGGAAGCATGTAGAAGGTCTTCTATGACTGCAGAGTACAGGAGGATTGTGAAAGAGGACCTGCCTGGGACTCCAAGTGCCTCTGGTTTTGACTTAGAGGAGAGAACTATCGGGCCCACCAGTAAACAAACACTTACATTACATTTACTATGTGTCGGGCACTGTTCTGAGAATATCACAAATATTTACTCGTTTAATCCACACAATGAACCTCTAGGCCTTAGAGGGCCCTGCTAGCTGCAGTCTAGGCAGAAGGTTGAGAAGTGTTGAGATGTGTTAGAATAATTTGTTTTTCTTCCTGATTCAGGAGGGCGAGTACTCTTAATAGAGTTTAGAACTATGTCATTGACAATGTGAATTAATCAAGTCAAATCCAGGGAGAAAAGGTCAACTGCCTACTTTCTCTTGGCAGAGGAATTGGGAGGATTGCTCTTCTTGCAAAGATTCATCACTTTTTGATGCTTTCCAGAAGTGGTGATGAATTTGCAAGGAGCTATCTACTTTTTTTTTAATCTCCTCATATATTTGTAGTATAGCTCCCTTGGTGCAGGGAGTCTGCTTAGATCCTGAAACAACCCACTCAGGCCCGAATAGAGGTCAAACCGGTGCCCTTGGCCTTTTGATCCAGGACTTTGCATAGCGCTGGACGAAGTCCTCAATCATTTGTTGAATTAGTTTATTGACACACTTCAAAAACAACCTGACTTTGAACACTTCCAGGCTCGATTTTGATGATGAAATTAGTAGAAGTGTACCGAAGTGCAAGAAAGGAAAGAGCTTTTTCCAACCCGCCTAAAGATAAATAGGAAGTGAGGGGTTTTTTTTTGGAAGTACTTATGAGGTGCCCTTATGTTTTATATGTTAACATTTAAATCCCACAATACTCTGATCGAATCTCCATTTCCTAGAAGAGGGAACTAAGTTAAATGACTTGCTGAAAGTGAATAGGTGAGGGGCAGAATTCAAAATATAGTCTCTCTGCAGAACCCATTACTCTTTCTACATCATGCTGCAGACTGGAGGGTATTCCCCTCTTCATGTGAAAAATGAGTTGGCCCTAGTGGCATCCACTGACCATGGCGAAACTTTAATTGATCTTTCCATGCCACAGACTACTGATTATCCATGTAGAATAAGCAACAGGGAAAATCTGTCCTCTGTAATTAAGACTTGGTTCCCTTAACAACTCCACCATGTAATTAAACTTATTTCTTGAACAGGCAGATATGATTCACCAAAGGATCTAAGAAGTCATTTAAATTATGTCTAGTTTCTTGCTCTGGGTTAACCCTGGTCAAGTCTGGGCTTGGAACTGAAGTTTAAGGAGGAATGTGGAGAATGCCGTTGGCCCAGAGCTCACCAGCACAGAAGTTCTATGGGAGTCAGGGCATATTTCCTGCACAGTCTGTGAAACTTCTGACTTATCTCTGCTCATCATTTTCCTCAATGAACATGTAGGGTAAGCATGCAGGTTGATAAATAGTTACCCTTTTCTTGGAGCAGCCTCCGTTGACTTAGGCAGCAAATCTCACGTAGTTATTCATTGATTATCAGGAATGGAAAATGTTTCTTGTTTGGAAGGTAATTATCAGAGATCTCACACTAACAATGTTTTGAAAAAAAACATGTATTTGTTGTTATCAGTACATTGTGGCTGTATTGTGAAAAAAATTTGGCTGTCACCACAAAGTTTATAGATTTTTTTTTTCAGTTGAGATAAGATTTGGCTTAGCAGAAGGTATTAAAAACATAAGAATGGCATCAAATAGTAGTTATATTACATGCAGTGTTGTAATACACAGTGAGAAGGGAACCCACGGAGATTTAATATCTTCGGGAGTCTATAAAACTCTAGGTTTATAAATGCTAGTCAAATGAAAAAAAATTAAAGTAAACAGAAGCTGCTTTGAGTTAAAAGTCATTAAATCAAAAGAAGATAATAGGCAAGATCACTTGGCCCCCGATATCAAATAAAATGCCAAGATAAAAGACCAGTGGGTTGTCCAACCAAAGAATCACCTTTCCCCTCCCCCATGGGTCAAAAGCAGTTTAAGGCAATCCAAACGTATTTTCTAAATTTGCAGTACCTAAGAGCGAGCCCAAATGTCAAACACAAAGCACTGCACACTTCCACTGTCTCACAATGGCTGCTCTGAGGGGCAGCACGCAATTAGTACCTGGAAACCCACCCCCCAACAAAACAACACAGTACAGTCTCCTAACAGAACTGGATGATGACTCCAGATGTGGGAGATTATGATCTCCTAGATGCAATGGAATTTATGCCAGGAAAGCAAAGAATTAATGAATGACTTTCTCTACTGGTTTGCAATGAGTTCAGCTTATTACTTATTATTTGTACTCATTGCGATGCATGGTAATTACAATGCTGAAAATAATGTGCAACATGTGACCACTGTAGTTAAGTTTAAAAAGGGGGCATTTGTCATTTTGGTTTGCACATCTGGTTCTATCATAGCTGCCACATGATTAATATAGGAATGTATCACAGTGAAATCCCTTTATATCAAAGTTTTATTTTCCAGGAAATAGAATACTTTCCTTCCCTCTCTCTACCTTCTCCCACATTCTAGGCTGAACTCTGAAATTTGCAGCACGAAGGTTCATTGCTGAGAACAGGGAATCTGTTCTCGTCTTTGTTCGCTTCTGTTAAGTTCCATAGTTACAAATGGGGTACATATGCATCCTTTGTTTCAAAAGCACACCCATGAGGGGGAAGCCCCAAAGCTCATTCTAAAACCAGGCAGGGCATCAGATACCTCAAACAGTTAAAACCACAGGAACTGAATTGTAAATTTTAAACTCCCTTTTATTGAAATATAAGTTTGTTTAGTATATTTACACCACACTTTATGCACATATATACATACTAGGCAAATTTCATCAAATAAAAAAAGTTTTTATTACAAAATTAAAATAAAAACAAAGTAAAGTGCATGAAACTGATTTTTTTTTCTTCTGCTGAACATCATCATTGTCAAAATTTTGGTCGACTGGGGGAGGGGAGAGAAATTCATTATGTGACTCAGTGCACACAGCCAGTCAGTCCCTCATTTGCAGCCTTCAGGCCAAAAAGACAGGCGGTAAAGAACAAGTCAAATACACAGTCAGGGACTGCGGGGCTCCCCGGGTTCTGGAGGTCCTGACGTCTTTGTCCTATCCGGATCCGTTCCCCAGCTCCGTACGGTGATCTCACCACCACCAGCTGGAACAAAGGGAGAAGACAGGAAGGGGGCTCCACCAGCCAGTGTCACGGCCGTCTCCGGGCCGCCAGAGCTGCGTTTGGGAGGAAACTGCAGAATTAGCTCAAAGGCTCAGACAGAAGTTTTCCTTTTTGGGAAAGGGGGAGGAGGGCAAGGAATGGGATGCATCTCCCACAGAGACGGCCACCGGGGGGCCAAACTCGGCAGCCAGTTTCTTCTGATCCAAACTCCCTGCTGGCGCAGAAAAATAATCTTTTAATAGACTGGGTGGAAGGGATGTTATACTCCTCACCTCGGTGAGTTCTCCCAGAACTTGGAAAGGAAACAGCATGAAACTGAAAGAAAGGGGCAGGTGGGTGAAACGGAAGTTTTTAGCCGCCTTCTCCCTCAGGCCACTGGCTGGGCGTTGGCCGGCTGGTCCTAGGCGGTGGTAGAGGCGACAGCCCTTTCACCATCACCCACTCCTCAGCCAGGGATCTTTCTCTCTCTTCCTCAGGATAATGCTAAGTCCCAGGTCGGCGGCCGTACTTGGCCTTACAGTGCAAAATGTGCTTGGCGAGGAAGTCGAGGCGGCGCTGCAGTAGCTGAGCGTGGGGGTCGGCGAGCTCCGCCAGCTCCGGGAAGCGAGGCTCGTGGTGCTGATAGAGGCGCAGCAGCCGGGCGGCCGCGTCCTGGCCGCGGTGCAGCTCCAGGACGCGTCGCGCCGTCCGCTCTCGGAACACGCACACCGACTGCAGCAGTGGCTCATTATATTTGTCCCACATGCCCGCTACCCGGTAGCCGTGCACCAAGCCCGCCTCGTTGTCCAGAAAGACCAGCGCCCCGCCGGGGCCGCGGTGCAGGTTGCTAGTGGCGCGCTGCATGACGCGCGGGTCCCACTGCAGGCTGAAGAGGTTGCTGACCAGCCGGTCGAAGTTGGCCGTCAGGTAATCGAACAGGATCAAGTCGGTCCATTGCACCAGGTCCACCAGCTCCGCCTGGCTGCGGTTAGCTAGCTCGTCCCCGGCGGCGCGCAGGGGCCGCAGATGGCCGTCCTCCGAGCGCCAGGGAGCAGGTACCACCACGTCAGTGAGGTTGGGCAGCCAGCTCGTCAGGCTTACCACGCTGCCCTCCGTCCAGTGCGCCGCACGAAGCTCCTCCTGCACCTGCGCCCACTGCGCGCCCCGAGCCTCCACCCGGGCCAGTGCCAGCGGGGGCACGTGGCGTTGGAGGCCCAGCAGACGCGCCAGGTAGTAGGACAGGGCCTCGCCCTGTATCTGCTCGGGGTTGATGCCGTAGCGCACGCAGGCACGGGTGCCGTCGGGGAAGAGCGCCAGCCGGTTGGAGCTGCGTCCGCATCCCCCGCGCTCCAGGGCCACCACCCGGGCTCCGCGCACCGTCTCCAGCCACGCCGCCGCTTGGGCCTCCGAAAAGCCCCGGGGCACCTGCTCTTCCAGGCCGGGGCTCCAGAAGATGCCGCCGTGCACCACAGGGCGCTCCTCCAGCCGCGGCCGCCTGGCTGGCACGTGCCGCCTGCGCTTGTCCCGGGGCTGCCGGGGCAGACCGTCCACGCCGGCCGCCAAGGTGAGCAGAGACCGGAAAGTTTTCAAGGAGCCGCCGCGGGCGTCCCGCGCCAGGAGCGGGGGCTGGGGAAAGCGAGGCGCGGATTTTGGGCCGCTGCTCCCGGGCGGGTGCGGCAGGATTCCGTCTTCGGGCGGCCCGGGGATGAGCAGCTCAGTCCGCGGCGGCAGGAGCCCGCCCCACAGCGCCAGCAGCGAGCCCAGCACCAGCAGCCAGAGACCAGCGGTGGTGGCGGCGCTCCGCATCCTCCTGCCCATGCTCCCCCGGCTGTGCTGGTGCTGCCGCCTCTTCAAGCCGAGCCCGGGTGCCCGGGTCCCGGCGGCGAGGAGGGACCGGCAGCTTGCTGGCTCCGGGGCTCCGGACGTCTCAGCCCCATCGCGGCTGTGAGGCGGTGCTGGGCTCTGCCCGGCGCTGGGAACTCGCTCCGCCGCCGCTTCCCAGCTGCTTTTGTATTTCGCTGTGAGACCCTCCGGCGGGCTCGATTCACAGGCGTCCGGACCACGTGGGAGCGAGGGGGATCCCCCCCTCCCCTCCTCCGCTGCGTTCCCCGCCCCCCACTCCTCCGCCCCCTTCTCCTCCTCTTCCCCTTAAAGCGGCGATGGCTTCTTCCAAGCTGAAGACCCGGCCCCACACTGGGTCGGGGACTTAGGGGCCGGGAGGAAGTCCGGCGGGCGGCGCCCACGCAGGGGCGTCGGAGGGGGCAGTACTGAGCTGGGGTCGGCCGGTTGGGAGAGTCGCGCCCCGGATGCTCGCGGGGGTTGGAGCGGTCGCGGGGGTCTCTCGGCCTGGGCTGCGTCTGGCCTCCTCTACACTTCAGACCAACCCTCACGGTGCTCTGGGTGCTGCCGGGCGAGGATTAGGGCGGGTCCCTTGGCCTTCTTCGTTTCAGGCGGTGTGATTCACTCTGCCTTATGTAAACCTCTGGGAATTTCGCCGAGCCACCGAGGAATGGACTCCAAAGGGGAGAAGAATCAGTTTGGAACCGACACCCACTTTCCCGGAGCATGCTCGCCACCACTGGTCCCTGCGGCTTTCCCAAGGCACTGGCAGGGACTTAAACCTCGCTGTGCAAGTAGAGCACCTAGGTCAGCGCCAATTCATTCGTACACCGGTTCAACAAAGCTTCTGTCCTCGGTTCTGGTCTCAGTAAAATCCACAGATCCAGCGTCCTGGACTCCTGGAGCTCACCTTGTACGGGGATGTTCAAGTTGCTATGAGAGGCTTATAACCCAGGATCTGACCTAGTGTGGGGTGGAGGGCTGGGTGTTTGTGGGGGAAGGGGTGTCAGGGAGGATTTCTCTAAAGAAATGATACTATTCTATGAGGAAACAGGCACAGAACAGGGATGATGTTTGCTGAAGATCCCACAATTAGCAAGAGGAGAAACTCAAGTTCAAACTCGGGTGTTCTGGCAACATGCCACTTGATTTTCCCTCCATGTTTTTATCAAGTTGTTCGTTTTTCTCTCTCTCTTTTACTAACTGTGATTTAGTCAATCACTTTATTACCGAAATGTGATTTTCAACTCAACAAGTAAAGAAAATCTCTATATTGCATTTGACTTAATGGTGTAATGATTTAAGGGAAAAAAAATAAATAATTGGGGGAGGGGTGGAGGAGCAAAAACTAAGAAAACAAACAAATAAATAACAAAACAACAAACCGCGTTGTCTTGCAGGCACCTTTGGTGCAATACCAGGAAAGCTCTTGGGTAAGCAGGGGTGCCCCTCCTTCCCTCTCTGTACCAGAGTGTGTTCCAGACCCAAACCCCAATTCCCAGGTAAGACACATGATTGCTGGTGGTGGTGGGATCCACTTCCTGAGAGCAGGAGTTTTAAATGTCTCCTTACATGTGTTTCCTTCTCTCCTTTTATCTCCCATCAGCTGCACATCGGGGTTTCAACTGTGTTGGGTCACCAGCTGGCACTGAGTATATTTTATTCACCAAAGAATGAATGTTCTGGAGTTGTAGGGCAGACACCCTAATGTCTGTGCCTGAGCCGAGGCATCAGACCACACAGAGGGCCTCCCGGCGCCCACTCAGTATACCCTGAGTGTTTCCATATTGATCTTTGGTGCATCTGTTCTGCATCACACAGTGGCTATATCATTGCCTTTTTATAGATCTTATCTGATGATGAGATTACTATTGCTCCCATATGGACACATCAAAACATGTTCATTCATTGAGGGGTGCTGTCTTCCTGCTCTGTGCAAGCTCCCTACCCTAACATTCCCTGGAGGGCAGGGACTGTGTCCTATCACCTTACTAATTCTCTTAACAGCTACCATGGTATATCATACTAAAGAGGGGCTCAATAAATTCCATTTCATTTTTTGTCTTTTTGTTGTGACTTCCGCTGAGAATTTTTTTTCCCCCTTTCTTTCCCCAAATGCATTACTTTCAACTTGGGTAAACTGTAAGCAAGATCTCCACCTTGTGGGCATAAGTAGAATATCACCAAATTAGAGAAAACGGAGTACAATTTTAATGGAACAATGAATGGTTTAAGTTCAATTCTGAGAATATTACGTGGCTACCATGGCCCACACCGTGTCCTAGATTCTATGGGGAAATCCCAAGTAGTTGGGGTCTCTGTCTTTTTAGCTGTTAACGACAACTACACATAACGGCAGGGATGGTCCACTGTGAGCTCCAGGAGGAGTCTGTCACTGCTTTGTGGTTGCCTGACCTAATGCGTGGCCCTTAGTGGTGTTCATTAGCAATTTTCTGAATAAATCATTGGAATGTGAATGATATGACGCTCTGCAAGTAGCATATATGAAATCTTTTTTTAAAACGCCTTACTACAAAAGGATACAAAATAAGAATGAAAAGGAACAAATATCAGTGAGGCTTCTGCTTAATGTAGGAGCAAGCACATGAGTTTTCGTCTGGGAAGGATGGCCTCGGATCCAGATACCCCGGCTCGCGGAACCTGCCAGTCACATGAAGGTACCTGTGAAGAACCTGCGCCTTACAGAAGTCGGCTGAGATCTTCCACCTGAGAAGACCGACTGACTCGATCGTAGAACCTCTGGCAGGACTGAATGCACGGAGTATCAGACCAGGAGGCACTGACAGAGACTTGAACAAGTTCATTGACGTGCAGCATTACAGAAAACCAAGGGAATAAATCAAAAGCAAAAACCAAAAGAGAAACCCAACATGGAATGCTGTTTTAAAGTGGTGTTTGGTTATTTTAGACTGTGTTTTAACACACTCCTCTTTTTACCTGTTGGAGGAACACACTCCTGCTCCCCTTTACTCCTTGGTCTGAGGACACCCCACCACACACCCGTGGTCAGGCCACTGTGGCTTCCGGGGTAGCACAGCTCATCACGGTGTGTGACCTTGGTCCCATCTGCCCCTCTGTCAGTTGCTTGGGGATGAGGCAAGGTGCTGCTCATCTGTCACTACATCGGTGCTGATTTTCACCTTGAAAACTTTCTTAATATAATTCCTCAGAGCTTCTCCCTGAGCCTCGACTTCCAATTGCCTCAGAGTTTTTCACGGTCTTGTTTGAAGAATGATCTGGTTCATATAACACTGCCTCCCGAGGAAGAGAGAGGAGGTGGAGTTGAGGGCTGGGAGCAGGGCAGCAGGCTTGGGGTTGGAACATTTTCCAAGTCTGGTGTTTCCATTTTCTGGCGGTTTCCTTTCTGGCTAGTCATTTCTCTGCGCTGTGTGTCGGTTTCTGCGCCTGAGAAATGAGGACAGAAAATCTTACCTCATACTGCTGCTACGATGCTCTAGTGAGATATTAATAATCATTACAACATTCATCATCACAACATTAGCTGCAAACACTTACTGAGTGCTTGTGGTGGGCTTGGCCTACAACTTTAACCCTCCTAACAGGTGTTATTGTCCCCACTTCGCAGATGGGAAGACTGAGGCTTAGCCAGTAACTGACCTGAAGTCAAGTAAGTGGTAGGGCTGAGATTCCAGAATAATGGGCACACAACTCTAAACAAATTGTTAACTGATAGGAAAATGTCGGATGTAAAATTACTGCATTAAATCAAAGTAGACTCAACTCAGATTAAATGTTGATTTGAAATGTTCTCTGGGGTTGCTACTAGGTGAAATCGTTAACAGCATGAACTCTGAAGCCAGACTGGCTTTAAAACAAACCAGGTGAGTGACCTTGAGTAAATTACTTCAGCTCTCTGGGTCTCAGTGTACTCAGCTGCAACATGCAGTAATGACAATGTTATTGGTATTACTAATACTAATTATAAGAATTACATAACATCTCACAATTAATAGTAATAACTAATAGTTACAAATCCCATAGCTTATTATTGTGGTGATTAAATTAGTCCCTGTTAGGTGCTGGAATGGCTGTCAAAGGGCTCACTGTTATCATTACTCCCTTTTCTTCCTATGTCACTTTCATTGCCCAGATGGGGTCTCCTCCTTTTCTTGTTGCTGTCCTCCAGCAAGCATTACTTCAGTCTTAAGAGACCTGATAAACTGGTGTTCCTGCCCACGCTCCCCTCTTTATGCCCAGATGGGCATCTTCTCTGAAAATTTTGCTCTAGTCCCTCCCCACGGAGCTGGGCCAGCGAGACCCTGCCGAGGTTCCCGGGGCAGCCCTTCTGGAAAGCCAGAGCCTCCAGCCAGCCAGCCAGACAGCCTTGAGCAGCTGCCTTCCTTCCTCTCACTACTCTGCCTCCTTCAGTCCCAGGCTTTCCTGGGTCTTCTGAGTTACAAGTCCCTCCCAAAGACAGAGGCTTCTAAACACACCCTTCTAGGTGCTTCCATGAAAAGGAAGAGACAGAAAGACCATGTCAGAGAGAGGACTGTAATATTCCTTGACACTGGGTATGGCTCCTGCTTCGTCACTGGCTGTGTGACCTTGGGTAGCTTTCTCACCTGGGTCAGTTTCATTATCTGTGTCTCCCTCTTCTCCATTCTTTCTCCCTGCCTAGGTACATTATTTTTATGCTTGGAGATCGTTGTCTTTTTCTTGGTATTTCTCTATGTGACCATGATCTGGATCTCCCAAGAATTTCTTAAATGATCTCATCCTCACATACCTGGCTATCAGGGGCCAGTATATACACATCTGGTTCCAGATAAATCCTACTGGATACCTAGAAGGAGGTCAGGAAATGTAGGAGTCTTTGCAGTTCACCTGTCTGCCTGAACAAGTCCCATTTTTAAGAATATACTGTGTTGTGGAAAGAATGTCAAGGTTGACACGAATCCTTAATTTATGAGGAGACTAACGTTGTTATGATTCTCTTTATTCCGTGTAGCCCTCCTTTTGACCTGATTTTGGAAAAGTTTCCCGTTAGAGACCAGAATGTAAAGGCTAGAGCACTGGTGAACTTAGTGAATTTTAGAGCAGTTGTGACACACACCTCAGTCACATGTCATCACACCCTAGTTT